TAAAGAAATGGCTAATTCCAAGGCTGGAGTAGGGAAAACAATGAAGAGAACCTGGAACATCTTATTGTGCCAAAGGGTAAGGAAATGCTCAAAGAATAATGGGATATGTCAAAGAAACAAGGAGCAGCTTGAAAGGGCTCCCAAGGTTCAAAGTTGAGGTAATTTAAACCTCAAAATAAATGATGAGAGTAATCAATTATAACCCTTTGAGTAAATTCATGAATCCATACTAATATAAATACATAAATGGGGAAGAAGATAAAGTTCTCATTTAAAGTAAAGTGCTGACATATAATTTTAAAGAAAAGATGGAATTAGTAAATTGCCCGCCATTTGATAAACATCACAGTAAAACTAATTCGGGCATCATCAATAGATGTTTCAACTAGTGAGAGTTTGATGAGGAAAAGGATATCTATATATTCTTAAAGTAACTCCCCTAAAATATTTATAAATTTTAAAAAATAGTAACTTTACAGTACATAAAACTGGAAGATACCACCTCAAGTTAATATAACCAATTACAGAATAAAGAGACATCTGTGCCTTTTTATATCATACATTGAGGATGTATCACTTCCACAGTATTCCTGCAAAAATGTATAAACGTATTCTAATCATGAGAAAATATACACGAACACAAAATTGAGACATATTCTATAGAATTAATAGCCTGTGCTCTTCAAACATTCAAGGTTACAAAAAAAAACAAAGAAAGACTAAGAACAGTTCTAATTAAAGGAATCTAAAGACACATAAAAACTAAATTCATCGTGTAATACCAGATTGTACTCTAGATCAAAATTCCTTTTTTGCTTAAAGACTATTAAGATAATAATCAAGATTTTCAAAAGATATTGATTAGATAACAGTATTATATAAATAAAAATTTCCTGATTTTGATAATTGTGGTTATAAAAGAGAATGTGTTATTCTTGGGAAATTTACACTGAAGTATTTAGGAGTAAGGAGCATCATCTAAAATGTATTCTCAAAATGCTTAATAAAAATATATATATGTATATATTCCAGACAAGAAAAAGCTAAAGGAGATCATCATCACCAAACCAGTATTTCAAGAAATGTTAAGGTGCTTCTTTAAGAAGTGGAAAATAAAAAATATAAATATGAATACTAAAATGGCAATAACTATATACTTATCAATAACCACTTGCAATGTAAATGTATTAAATGCTCAAATCAAAAGACACAGGATAGCTGAAAGTAAAGGAACAGAAACAATATTTCATACAAATGAAAATGAAAATAAAAGCAGGGTTAGCAACATTTATATCAGACAAAATAGACTTTAAAACAAAGGCTAAAATAAGAGACAAAGAAGGACATTACATAATGATAATCAATTAAAGATGAGAATATAACCCCTGTAAACACTTATGCACATAAAAGGCATTCAAATTGAAAAGAAAGAAATAAAACTATCATTACTTGCAGATGACATCAAACTATAAAGAGAGAATCCTAAAGATTCCAAAAAAACTATTAGAACTGATAAGTGAATTCAGTAAAGTAGCAATATTTAGAAATCAGTTGTATTTTTACACACCAATAATGAACTATCAGAAAAATTAAGAAAACAAACCTAGTTACAATTAATAAAATAAAATACCTAGGAATAAACTTAACCAAAAAGGTAAAAGACCTGTACATAGAAAGATATGACACTGAAGAAAGAAATTGGATACAAATGAATAGAGCATATATTGTGCTCATGGATAGAAGAATTAACATAATTAAAATGTCCATACTACCCAAAGCAATATCTATCAAAATACCGATGAAATTTTTTACAGAACTAGAACAAATAATTCTAAAATTTATATAGAACCACAAAAGACCCCAAATAGCCACAGTAATCTTGAGAAAAAAGTACAAAGTTGGAGGTATCCCACTACCTGATATCAAACTAAACTACAAGGCTATAATAATCAAAACAGCATGGTACTGGCATAAAAATAGACATATTGATCAATGAAACAGAATTGAGAGACCAGAAATAAACCCATGCCTATATGATCAATTAATCTATGACAAAGGAGGCAGGAATATTCAATGGGGTAAAGACACTCTATGAAATAAATTATGTAGGTAAACTGAACATATCCATGCAAAAAAAATAAAACTAGACACCTTCTTGTACCACATACAAGAATAAACTCAAAATGGATAAAAGACTTAAATATAAGACCCAATCCATAAAACTCCTAGAAGAAAACATAGGCAGTAAACTCTTGGACATTGCTCTTAGTAATATTTTTTTCTTATATATCTCCCTTAGGCAAAGGAAACCAAAGGAAAAAAAATCAACAAATGGAACTATATCAAACTAAAAAGATTTTGCACAGCAAAAGGAAATCATCAACAAAACAAAAAGACAGCCTACTAAATGCGAGAAGATATCTGCCAAGGATATATCTAATAAGGGGTTAATAATTAAAATTTATAAAGAACTCATAAAACTCAACACAAAAGAGAACACAATTCATTTAAAAAATGGGCAGAGGATCTAAGTAGGTACTTCTCCAGAGGACATACAGATGGCCAAAAGATATATGAAAAGCTGCTCAGCATCACTAATCATCAGAGAAACGCAAATTAAAATCACAATGAGGTATCACCTCACACCTATCAGAATGGCCGTCATCAATAAATCAACAAACAACAAGTTTTGGTGAGGATATGGAGAAAAGGGAACCCTCATGCACTGGTGGTGAGAATGCAAATTGGCGCAGCCATTATGTAAACAGTATGAAGGTTCTTCAAAAATTAAAAATAGAACTACCTATGACCCCACAATTCCACTTCTCAGGATTTATCCAAAAAAAATCCAAAACACTAATTTGAAAAGATATATGCATCCCTTTATTCACTGTAGCATTATTTACAACAGTCAAGATACAGAAACAACCTAGGCATCTGTGAATAGACGACTGGATAAAGAATACGTGGTACATATTTACAATGGAATATTACTCGGCCACAAAAATAAATTAAATCTTATCATTTGCGACAACATGGATAGAACTAGAGAGTTTTATGCTAAGTAAAATAAGTTAGACAGAGAAAGACAAATACCATATGATCTCACTTATATGTGGAATCTAAAGAACAAAATAAATGAGCAAACAAAACAGACACGGACTCATGGATACAGACAATAAATCTATGGTTACCACATAGGAGGGGCCTTGGGGGGCTGGGTGAAAAGGTGAAGGGATTAGAAGTACAAATTTGTAGTTACAAAATAGTCATGGGGATGTAAAGCATAACAGAGAGAATATAGTTAGTAACGATGCAGTAACAATGGAGCTAGATGGGTACTAGACTTATCAGGCGATCACTTCACAAATTATATAAATGTCTGACCACTATGCTGTGAACCACTACACCTGATACTAATGTAATGTAAATAAAATTCAATGTCAAATAATAATAATAATATAAATGTATAGGGAGAAAAAATGATAAAGCAAATGTGATAAAGTATTAACCACAGGACTGGAGTGAATGGTATATGAGAATTCTTTGTATTCTTCGTGTAATTTTTCTATCAGCTTGAAACTATTTCAAAATTTAAAATTATTTTTAAAAAGCAAACTTATTAACTAGAAATAATGAATGAATTACATCTAATACATTTATATGGTTAAATCTAGAAAATATAACAGTAAGTGAAACAGTACGCAACCTACATACCAGGTGATACCATTTACTTATATATTTTAAATCAGACAACAATATACATTGTTATTCATGTATGTAATAAAGATTTAGTGTTTACTTTGGCAAAAGGAAAGGAAACTGAATAGGGTAATAATTGTAATGATACATTTATTTTAAAATATAGCTACTTCAAGTGTGACAAAATTTTATTTGTGTTATACCTAATGAAAGATACACAGATATATTATGTTTATACTATTAAAATGTATAATTATATAAAGTAAAAGTATTTTAAGAAAAACATTTTATCAATTCCGCAGATCTAAGACCCGAAAATACCTCTGTATACCTACTGCCACAAACCAAATGGTTTATGAAGGTGCTTGAGCCAATGCTCAAAGGTGGAGACATGTACAAACAAAAAGCTATGGAGTATCGAGAGCGAAGGTCAAGCCAAATCCTGAGAATACTTATTCTCTGCCCAACGTGACTTGTCAGCCTCTCCTTAAATCTACGCTTAATTTTTGCCATTTTGCTCACTAGGATTACTTCTTTCAGATCTCATAAAAGTATAAAAGAAAAAAACAGGTTCAAAGCACTATGTACTTTAGTCTTATAATTAAGTAAAACCAGACATATCATCTATCTATATTTATTATCTATATTCATGGATAACTCATACATTTCAACCAGCTGAATAAAATTTTGGTTCAAACCTGGATGAGATAAATCTGATATATTTGATATTTTAATCGAAGAGAATCTCCTTATCTTTTTTATAATCATTTGTGAAATAAATAATACACTATCAGACTCAAATTCTCTTGTAAATAAATTGTTCTCTTTCACTTTCCAATTCAGGAAAAGAATATCTATGTACTGCATATGATTATAGATTATAGCAGAGCCTTCTAGTGAGTTAAACCTGTTTCCTCTTCTTCCTAGATAAAGTTAGGCTATATTTTCTAGCCTCCTTGGCAGTAAAGTGTGTCCATGTGACAGAGCTTTAACTCCCAAGCCTGGCCCACAAAAACCTCTCACTAGTAGTCCTCCATTCTCTTTCCCCTTCTGCCAGCTGGATGCAGATGACTACAAAGCCCTGGAAGATGATAGTAACACAGCTAGAGTAAGCCTGAATATCTACATAGAAGAAAAGTCTCTTAACAAGGATTGCTCACATAAATGAGGAAAAACTAATTTGTTGCATTTAGCCACTAAGATTTGGAGATCTATTTGTTACTGCAATTAGTGTTACATTAACTAAATATGTGTAATCATAATCTTCCAACTGTCAACATGAAATGCAATATACTTACAAATTGAGGTTTATAGTATGCTGGACCTAATGTGCTGTCACTAGCAGGTGGAAAATGTTTTATAATACTGTCATCCTCATTAATATGATAACCATATGACCGTCCACAAGGAATTGAAGGAACATAAACACTTCTGGAAACTGAAGGTGCCTTTGAAATTTTCTGCAAGAAAACAGTTTATTTTATTTACTCGAAGGCAAGAGGAGAAGGAATGAAGAACCAAATATTTAAATTTACTAAAAGGTAACTATTAAATGTTGACTTAATGAGTTTCATAATATAAAACAAAAAAGTTTGTTCTATAAAAATAATTTAAAGGAGGGCATTCAAGTAAATCAAGGTAATATGTACGATTACTATTAAATCTACCTTAAGAGGCAAAGAATCTTTCACTTGGCTCAGTTATTTATCTTCCTTAGTAAAGAAAGTTATTACTGATTCAAAAAACAGGTATTCATTCCTATAGTCACATCAAAAAATAGGCCAAATTGGTTACCTATGCTATCACAGTATCTGCCAGGCAAAAACAAACTTTACATTTTCTGTAACATTTCCTGACTTCATTCCCTCCCAGCTACTGACTTATCATCATATTACCGGTGCCCTTTATAAATATCCTAATTATGCAGACCATGTGGCAAGGAAAATGTCTATGATTTAATGCTGAATCAAAATAAAAAATAAAATGTAAAATTGAATTTATGACTATAGCAATGTAAGTTATGTGAAATTATATATGTGTATAAAGTCATACACATATATAATTTAATACTGAGAAAAGCTATGCAAAAATTAATACAATATCAATGTTAGAGTCAGGAATTTTAGGGTGATTATTTTATTTTCAAAATTTCCTTTAATGGATAATATTTTATAATTTAAATAAAAACATGAAGGAGTACCATATATTAGAAATACTAGTATAAAATATATCAAATAAAATACAGACAAGTAAATGACTTAGTTATTTGGAAAATTCCTTACTAATATATTGATCCTCTATACATTCTAAATAAATGCTATAGTTGAGTGTATACATGCCTAATATATAATCATGTAATTAACATACTATCATTAGCTGAATTTTTTAACATTAGAGACAACTATTAAGTAGTTTCAGTGATACTTAATGAGACTGATTACCAAATTAAACAGGAAAGCATTGACTGGCTTCCCTTCCATTCACTACTCTCAAAAATTATTTGCATGAAGTAGTCTTTCCAAAATATACCCTCTACCTCTTTCTCTAGCCCTTATTCCTACTACTACTCTCCCTTATACTCCTATACTCCAAATAGTCCAAAGAACTTTGTTCTTCTCTGAACATACCATGCCATTAAATACAATATCTTTATTCGCATGGTGTTCTGTCAGTGTTTTTTCCTATTTTTTTAACTACTTAGTGACTTATTCTTCAAAATCCAGCTCGACTGTGATATCCCTAACCCCTCCAAAAACTCTCTCCTTTGAGCTACTAGTGAACACTTTATTATGATGTATGTTTATTAAGATATCATTTCACCAACTTTTTGGTATTGAATTTCATTCATTACTTTCCTGTTAAAATTATAGATCCCAGGGAGCAGTGATTTTTCTCCTATATATTATCAGTGCCTACCATGTCTGGTACACACAGTCACTCCAAAAATGTCTGATAAACTCTTGCATGAGTACATAGATATTTATTTTGTCTCCACACATGAAAGAGCTGATATTTAAATATCAGCTTATAAAACAACCTCATTGTCATTGCACTGACATTATTCAACTGAGCACTAAACCCTAAAATATATTTTCCTAAACAATCAAAAAACTAATTCAAACTTAATTAATATGAACTATGTAAAATATGGCAAGAGAAACACTCAAATTAAACCACGGCCCAAATCCGCTAGATTACATTATTTATTAAGTGGTAGGCCTTTGGTATAAAAATTATTTATATAACACCAACATACTTTTACAAACATATTACCTGCTAGACCCTATACAAATTCTTCATTCCAGTCAAAATAATCTCATTGTCCTCCAAAAGCTCCCACTTCTCTATCTTCAACCACGTGGCTCTCCATGACTAAAATAGATATTCTTCAAAGCCAACCTCCTCTAAAAATCCTCTATAAATTATTCTTTCCCATAATACAGTAATCTTCCTTTACACTCCTATGACATTTAATTACATGGTCATTCAATTAGCACCTATCAAATTTCATTTTACATTAGTTAGCTGTCTATATATATCTCCCACCTAAATTTTAAGCTTTTTTATTTCAGGAATCATGTTTTAAATTTTGCTATTTTATTAACAGTACTTAAACAGAGTTTCATATATATATATACATACACACACACATATATATATATGTAAACCATTCAGGTGGCTTCTAAAATATCCCTTACTTTCTATCCACCATAGACATTGGAAGTAACTATAGGTTTAACAAAAGCAAAAAGTAAGTCAGATGTTAATACAGTTAAAAACGAAAGTTTTTAACTTTTAACTGAGTGACCTCTGAAGCACGGTGGAATAAGAATGTCCCAGTTCTCTCTCCTTGAAATAACAATAAGCTGAACATCTAAAACTCAACAAAAAACACTCACCGTGCACACAAGCAAGTTTGAACAAGTGATCTGCGCATAACTACCAGAGGTCAGAACCAGGGAAGTTGGGAGTCTGGCAGTAGATAGAGAGGAACAAAGAAGCTGCTTCTCGAAGCCAGAGCTCCCTGCAGAGGAGAGAGAGGGGAGAAGGTACAGCAGGATCCCTGAATAGCCTTGCCTGAGAGATCTGTGCGCTCCACTCAGTGGCAGAGCCCAGGAATCAGGGCAGAAAGCAAAAATAAATGAATGGGACTATATCAAACTAAAAAGCTCTGCACAGCAAAAGAAACCATCAACAAGGTAAAGAGACAACCATCTGAATGGGAAAAGATATTTGCAAGCAACGCCTCCGATAAAGGCCTAACATCCAAAATATACAAAGAACTCATACAACTCAGTAACAACAAAATAATCCAATTAAAAGATAGCCAAAGCATCTGAACCAACACTTCTCCCAAGAAAACATACAAATGGCCAACAAACATATGAAAAGATGCTCAACATCACTAGCTATTAGGAAAATGCAAATCAAAACTACAATGAGATACCATCTCACACCTGTTAGAATAGCTATTATCAACAAGACAAGTAATAACAAGTGTTGGAGAGGATGTAGCGAAAAAGGAACCCTCATACACTGCTGGTGGGACTGCAAACTGGTACAGCCACCATGGAAAACATTATGGAGGTTCCTCAAAAAACTAAGAATTAATCTACCATGTGATCCGGCAATCCCTCTACTGGGTATTTACCCCCAAAGACTTGAAAACACATCCAAAAAGATATTTTCACACCAATATTCATAGCAGCATTATTCATATGGCCAGAATACAGAAGCAACCAAGTGTCCTACAATAGATGACTGGATAAAGAAGCTGTGGTACATACATACAATGGAATTTACTCAGCTATAAGAAGAGATAATGTACTGCCACTTACGACAACATGGATGGACCTTGAGATAATCATGCTAAGCAAAATAAGCCAGAGAGAAAAAGTTGAAAACTACATGATACATTTATATGTGGGATATAACTCTAAAAGCAACGAACAAACATGATAAACAAACAGAGATTCATGGACATGGACAACAGACTAGTTGTTACCAGCAGGGAGAAAGGAAGAGGGAGGTAGATGAGGTAAAAGGGGCAAATACATGGCGACAGAAAGAAATCTAACTATGGGCAGTGAACATACAATGCAAAATATATATGACTTACTGTTGAATTGTCAAAAAAAAAAAAAAGAGTCATATAAACAAACAGTTCCCAAAAGAGGAAATCCGAATGGCCAATACACATAAGAAAATGTTTATCCTTTTCAATAACCAGAGAAGTACAAATTAAAATAGCAACAAGATGTGTTTTCTCACTGATGAGATTGGCAAAACTTTTTAAGTCTGACTATATCAAGTCTGGGCAAAATGGGGGAAAAAGCTCTCTCGTTGCTGATAGAAGTGTAAATTAGTTCAGCCAATTTGGAGAGCCTTTTGGTACATAAGTTTGCAAATTCTTACTGAAAACCTTTGAGACCAGGTGTGTTTGAAATTCTTGTTTGTTTGTTTGAAAGGTAAAAGGTGAAGAGAACATTTTTACATTACCACTCCCAATGAGTTCGGAGCAGCATTCTACTCTCAACATATTGATCTTTCTACAGTGAAACATGAATCATTACACTAAATGGGTTAATTACAGACTTCAAATAGCCTTAGTTTTAGGTTCATTTTCACTGCCAAAGGACTTTGTTACAAATTTATGGGAAAAGTGGTTTTAGAGTTTTTTTGGATTTCAGAATTGTAGAGAGGGATCTTGGATCTGTATTTAGTAAACTTCAACATGGACATACTCCACGACCTAGCAATTCATTTTCTAAATCCATACCTTAGCATAATGAGATTTAAATTTTTTGACTGTAATCCACAGTAAGAAATACAATTCATTTGTAACCCAATTCACCCATCTATTTGTAACAAAAAATAACTAAAGTTTACAAAACTGAGTATTCATTTAATTATAAAATAACTACAGTAGGATATTAATAAACCTACTAATCTTTATAGTAAGGCTTTTTATTTATTATTGTTTTCAAGTTTATTTTTATCATGGTGACATTTGTTAACAAAATCCAGTAATTGTAAGGCTTTTTAAATGTATTTAACGTCACATAAAACATTGAACCTTTTCTATTTTATTTTAACTTAAAGAAATGTCATTAGAAAAACTTTAAAATTACAACGTACAGATTGAAGATGCTCTTTGGCCCCTAGTACTTTTCTCTTCGTGATCTTGAATGTTCCAGGACAAGATTGATCATAGCTCGCTGGTCCTGGACTGTCGGAAATAAACTTCTTAAAACGTTTCTCCCGATTTTGTAGACTATGGCCTCCTTTTATATTATACTAAATTGAAGAGAAAAAAAAATTATAAAATAATTAAAAGAAACAGTTTATCATTAATACTTATTTAATAAATATTATATAGTAATATGAAAAAATAGTTTTAAAACTCAACCTGAGAAAGTTAAGACTCTTAATTGAAGACATAGTTCTAGTAAAAGAGGATAAGAGAAATGACAATGATGGTTATCAGTTACAACTCTGAATTCAAACTAAAATTTGCTGTACACTGTAGGAGAATGTAAAACTCAGTTTTGAAACAGAAATCAGAGACATAGGACTCTCCAAAGCTGTGGAACAGGAATAAAGAGTGTAAATATACAGGCCCCTGGAGAATCTGTACCTTTGAAAGGAGCTAAAAATGCTGGTATTCAGATTGCAAGGAAAAAGCAAACCTTCCAAGCTTGCTTTGAACTAATTATTTTCATGAAAATATTTTGTTCATTTCTAGGGATGTTTATGTAGGCTTATTGGCAACAGCTTGGTTTTATGCTCAGATTAGTGTTAAACATGTTTACTGCAGAAAAAGCACTGGGAGGACTATTCCATTGCTCTCCATACCACATAAATGGATTCTCTAGAATCGGAAAATTATCAACTAGATAATAGCCATTTATTTGAGGTAAAATTCCATCATACTAGTTTCTATTAAACAGTCATAGTGTAATCATTCCAAAAATGATTCATAGTAATAGTAGTTGGCATTTGATTGACCAGATAAGATTTTTTTTAAGTCATGTTATATTCTTAGCCAATTCATTATTTGATTACTGTTTTAATAAGTTCAGAATTTCTATGTTTAAAGAGATTGGATCTATAATAATAGATTAATGATTTTGCAAAAAAAAAAAATTAACATTACAAGTTATATAGTTAAATCATGTGAAAAAAAAAAGACCTTGAATTTTAATTCTTCAAAAGCCATCATTGTGTATGGTCTCTATGGTCTTACAATTTAAATTGCAATTTGAATTTATATTGAGTCCTTTACAGATTATAATAAAATCAATCTAATGGGATTTTTAAACTGTAGTACAAATTAACCAGAAAATGTTTTCAAATTATTCATATTTCATAACTATCAATCTACTGATTTTATAAGAGGCTACAAAAGAAACTGCCATATGTCAAATAAGTGACTCAAAAAACATATTACTAAATAATTATACATTTACATGAAAACCTGTGAGAAAAATGGTGTTACTACTTCTTGCATACTGTGCTTTTGTCTACATACTAGTTATTTTATGAATTATTATATTATCAGCAAACCCCCAACATTACAGGGGCAGTTTCATCTTAAGGGTGAAGCCACATACTATATTACATATCACATATGATATCCCATCATTCAGCTCTAGTGAGAGATATCTCTTAGATAAAAAATCAAACCTAATTTGGACATCAATTACCTAGGCCTAAGTAATGAAATATAGAAAAGAAACTATTTATCTAGTCCCAAAAGAGATTTCCACATCTAGAACCATTTCCATGTAGCAAGAAACAAGATGGTACTTGCCATGCATAGACAAGTCAGAAACTGAAAGAGAGTAAGATCGGAAAACATAAATAAAATTTGTACTGACTCTCTGTAGTGGGACTCATCCTAGGAAACAGGATTATGAACAGAACAAGATATGTGACTTAACAAGCTAATTATCTATCAAAGGATCAGAAGTCTGTATTTTGTAAACTTGATTCTTTTGCTTGTTTTATTTTCTTAATTCCTTTATGTTCTTTTATATACTAAGCAAACTTCCATGTAAAAAATTAACATGCTTCAGATGCTAAAGGAAACAAAGGAAAAGTGATTTTGCCCATGACTGGGCAAGAGCTGTAAAGGCAAAAAGTATACCTCATCCCCACCCCCAATTTTGGAATAGTGGTGACAAACCATAACCAAACTGAAATAACCATAAGAGATACAGAGAAATAGAGAAGTCCAAATTGGGTGCACAGTTTCAACTCTAAATGTTCTGCTTTATAAAGTTTCAGCTATTATCATTTTACGGGGAAGGCAGGCCCTCACAACTACAACCTACATTTTAGGGTTTTTAAATTATTACTTGAAGTCTCTAAATAATATTTACTAAGTTTTGCTGATAGAAAGCAACATTTCAACCTATGCTTCCAAAGAAAAGTTTAAAAAAATTATTAAATACTTGCATTAATTTCCAATAAGGCTATCCCTTTATTCTCCATATTATTTACAGAATATGTAAACTATGTCACATTAAAAGCATGATTCCTAATCCATCCATTTAAAATGAAATGGACTTTATTTTTTAAATTGTGTGATAAATTCACACTTCTTAAACTTCTAATAGTTTGGCAATAATTTAGCCTAAAACTACCCCCCCCCCCAAAAAAACAACAGCAATTTAGTAAATAAGTCATAAATCATTTTTTAAACCAAGGAAATCAATCTTCTTCTGGCATTTGTTTAGTTTAAGAAGAAAAACAGAGACTACTAGAACTCTTTTTCCTTAGATCTTTCATTGCACAAAAAAAAAAGCATATTTTCTAATCCCTTATTCCTGAAATCCAAGAAATATACCCAATTTGGAATAAGATGAAATTTGACCTAAACTGCATTTTATATTATTTTACATGTGGAATTGACTAAATTTAGTATTAATATTATATTCCAACATCCTGACACTTGCCATATTTAACAAGCTTGAAGTCTACCTTTTGTGTATTTTACTACATTTCCCTCTTAGAATACTGGAGTTACATATCAGTTTTAAAAAGGGAACTATGTGTAGGACGAGCAAGCCAATACACCCATACTATGCTGGTATGAGGGCTCTGGAGTGTAAGCAGAAGTGACACTTCTAATAATTACATTTAATGACTAGAATTTTTTGCTTTTTGTCATCTAACCTTTAGTATTCTGAAAGTTTTAATACCCCAGAGAGAAGCAACAGATGTTCCACTGAATTGAAAGTTAAGACCACCAACTGACCATTCCAGGCTCTTTATGCTATAAAGCAAAAAGCAAAATAACAAGGTTAGTGTATTGGCTGAAGTGGTTAACCATGAGCAGGACTGAAAAACAAGACTAATGAAAGCCCAGAAGAGTATGGTGGGATGGAACACAGAGATACCCAGCAGAGCTTCCTCACACTGTAACACCCAGTAAAAATGCTAAGAATAAATTTATTTAAAGGTCTGAGAAGCAAGCCTGAGAACCAAGAACTCAGATTTCTCTTAACTGAAAATTCTGGTCTCTCCGCCAAACTAAGAACTCCACCAGACAAAGTCCTTGTTGAAAAGATAGGGAACAGAGAATGAGTAATATCTTTATTTACCAATAACCGCAAGATCAGTTACAGAAACAAAATAGATTCCCACCTGTATTTTCTTGCTTCCTATATCATTTTTTCACTTCCCATTTCTTTCTTTCCCCTTTCTACTGTAAAAAGGCAACACTATGGTTAAAATTTATTGAATGCTAACTATAATCAGTCACTAATCTAAATGCTTACTAACATATTTAGTCCTTAAGAAAAGCCTATAAAGTTATTACTTTTATTTAACAGGTGAGGAAACTGTGGCCTAAAGAGATTAAGTCGTTAAGATTAAGTCTCACAGCTAAGTAAGTGGCAGAGACTGATTATGAATCTAAGTAGTCTAGCTCCAGAGCCTATACTCCTAACTACTTCTTTATAATATAGCATGCTATATTTACCATTTAATCTATAGATTGCGAAACAATGAAATAGGAATGTAAAAGAACAAAAGAAGAAATGACTTTAATCTAGAAATCCAGGAATCTTCTGGTAGTGACACAACATCTCTGAATGCAGCAGCTAGACATTGATTTGGCTCCTTCTGGGAAGGTATATTTGAAAATTATACAGAAAATAACTGCATTTTATAAATTATATATATGGGAAGAATAACTGTGTATGTGTGTTGTGTGCATGAGAAGAGACTGGGCAGTCAGGGGAAGAAATGTAATGGAAATCAAACTTCCTCCATACTTTGTGGTTTTAAAGGAGCTTCCAAATGCAGGATCTTCCATCTCAGGATCTACAGGTATTGGTCCATAATTAAACTGGACCAATCAGATTCTCCTTACTATGAATTTTAATCTTGAGTGGAGTCACACATAAAAGAATAAAAGGAAGTTATAGAATTAAGTTATCTAATGGCAGTTCTCTATTGAATGGTGCAGAAGTTCCTACTCCTGAAATACCTAGAATTGTCTTAGTCCTTTCCTTCCTTAAGACGTGATTGTTCAATTCTTCAAGTCTATGAGCCAATCAAGTGCTTTTCCTGTAAATCTTTTATTGTAAACCTAGTATCTGTCTTAAAAATCTATTTTATTGCTTATAACCAAAAATCCCTGACAGAATGGTTGCTATTATTCATTTAGAAAGTCTAACACAAAATTCAAGGCATCAATAACTGCATCTGGGCCTCCAACAGGCGAAATAAAGGTCTGGTAGGGTCAGTTAGGAGTCATTATGTATAAATACAACATTTATGTGGAAAGGGTAGAAGATGATATCCATGATTATGAAAATATTAAAATTACATCTACTGTTTCTTAATATAAATGCACCACAGAAGATTCTAATCACAGACTCTTAAGACTGTATAGAAATAGGAGACAAATGAGTAAATAGCAATAGCTCTAGCTTTAGAGTATGTCACACAAACCAATTCCTTCACTCTATTTCCATTCCTCTTCTACATATCTTGACAATTTGCACAACTTCCATGGGCCATAATTCAATAGTCCTATTCTCTCATTCAAGAGTCTCAAGGACTATGAAGCATGTAACAATGTTTTATGTTTTATAGAATACATAGAATAATGAAGAACACCCAACCAGGTATCCAACATTGAACATATTTCTCTTATTCCAGTTACAAAACATAGAATGAAAGAAGAAAGACGATATAAAGGGAAAATAAAAAATGACAATTGACATGATAGTCTATTAAAGGAAGAAAGCATGATTTTTATTAACTTAAACAATTATAATAACTATTATAAATTTACCTGTGCTTCTGAAACATTATAGTATCCTGGACCTGGAACAGCATTCTCAGTGTTAGAAGCAACAGTAAAAGTACTTTCTCTGGCAGCCAAAGAAAGAAATGGTGCATAGCCACCTACAAAAATAAAATCATATCACTGGCAGATAAGATTCCAATGATTTCAGAGTAAAAGCACTCAAAATACATAAAATCATTTAGGAACTTCAATTGTTGAGACTATAAGAACTAATGGCTAGCCACAGAAGTTGTTGCATTTTTAAATTCTGATGTAAGAACAGAATTTTTATTAATATATATTAAATAAAAGGACCTTAGAACTGGACTTACTAAACAACAGGAAAATGCCTAAAGAAAATTTTTTAAAAAGTCTTTTTTCTTCTAAGTATATTTGGTTGGCATGAAAATGGCAGTTATATTTAGCTGATAAAATATTTTCATTTCAGAAAACAACTGTTTTATATTTTGGAATAGTATCTGTTATTTGTAGAGAACAGCATATGTAAATTTGTAGAGACATCCTAGATAGAAATAATTTAAAGTGAATTTATAGCAAGTAGTTAATAATGTCTCCTTGCTTTGGTACATAATTGGCACTCAGTAAATATTTCTTGATTGTCTGACCCCAAACAAAGGTTTACAAATAAATCCAAGATACAAATTTCATTGGAACAAGCAATCAGAAACTTTGACAAACTTAGTAGATAAACTTAGTAGACAGATTTAGTCTGTTGAAAGACTGAAAAAAATTTCCAAGAAATGTATCAAGAAAATGGTATAGTTTAGCCACATAAATATTATAGAAGAGATGGGAGAGAAAAGAGCAACCACATTCAAGTAGTAGTAAAAGAATAAAAGTGAGGACTCAAAACTTGTAAGAATCTTAAACACTAAAGGAAAATGTATGCACTATGAAAATTTATGGTGATATTAGAATAGTTTAAAATCTTGCTAATCTTGACTACTAATAAAAGATATTCTTTTAAAAACTAGAAATAATGTTTTTCTTTTGAGGCCCACTGAATTAAACACAACTGAAATCAAGAATTATTTATTTGTTAGGTATTGCAGCTTAAAAGAAGAGAGTAAAATACAGAGCTTACCCTTATAAAGCAAGAATCTATTGAATATTATAACAAAGACCACAAGAATAGAAATCCTTAAAAGGAAGTCAAGGTTCATTTTGAAAAGGCAAGGGTGTCCAGCAGAGCTAAAAAATCCAGAACACCAATAAAATGTAAGCAACTAGAGAACGAGATACAGATTTTAAAACACAGATAAGCACACATAAACCAAGCTACAGATTATGTGAAGTGAATAGTGCAAACTACCAGTGTTCTTCCAAGAGGTAGGAAAATATGTCCTAAAAACAGGAGAAAACTCAATGAAAAGAAGCAGATCTAGAAATGAGAAGATAGAATTAGTACACAAGAACATTAAAGTATCTATTATAAATACTCTTTATATGTTCAATAAGGTAGAAGAAAGATGAACATGATAAGATAAAGGGAAGATAAAAACCCAAATCAAACTTCTGAAATGAAAAGTACCACTGGATGGGATTAACAACAAATTTTACGTGGGTTAATAAAAGACTTTTTCTCAATTCTTAATCCTTTTAAAAAATAATTGACTGTTTAAGGCAAAAATAATTTCAATTTATTGTGTCATTATAGTACATGTAAAAGAAAATGTATGGCCACAATAGGACAAAATGATGAGATGGAGGAAATGGAAGCATACTGTTGTAAAGTTTATATATTATATGTCAAGTGGCATAATATTTTTAAAGGTAAACTGATGTTAGAGATGTATATTATAAATCTTAGAGCAACCACTAAAAAAAACAAAGAGGTATAGCTAGTAAACCAATAGTGAAGATAAAAACAAAACCTTTTAAACAAAAAATTCAACTCATTCAATGAAGGTGGGGAAAGAAGAAAAGAGAAACAAAGAACAGATGAGATAAATAGAAAACAAATAGCAAGAGAGTAAAGACAACAATATTGATAATTAAATTAAATGGACAAGTTCTAAACGCCCCAATTAAAAGGCAGAAATTGTCAGATTGGATAAAAAAACCAAGACCCTATTTTATGCCATCTACAGGAAACTCTCTTAAACAGAAAGATACAGTGGTTAAAAATAAAAGGACAAAAAAGATTTACCATGCATCCATGAATCAAAGAAAGCTGTTGTGACCATATTAAAATTAGACAAAGCAGATTTTAGAACAAGGAATACCAGGAATAAGAGAGACATTTCATTATGATAAAGGGGTCATTTCATCAAGAGGATTTAATAATTCACTAAAAAGCAAGGAAGTGATCCATAAATATCAAAATAGTGCTTACCCATAGGGGAAGAGGATAGAGTTATGATTGAAAAGGAAAATTTGGCACTATTTCTTGACTTGAATATTCACTTTTTAATCCATAAATTTATATTTTATGCAATTTTCTGCATAAATATTTCACCTCACAATTAAAGATATATATATTTTTTTAATTTAGGTTTAGAAACACTGAAGTTATATAATATAGATATGAGAACCAAGAAAGCTAGTTTTGAGGCTGCTGTCATCAGAACATGGCAGAGATTCTAACTGAATCTCTAAACAAATGTAAAATTAGTTGCAAAATACTGAAATTTATATAAAAATGGAAAAAACAAACTATGCAATAGCCCCATGTACGTAAGAAAGCCAGTACTCATAAAATCTTCATTGAAGTTTTCCAAAATTAATTAGTCTCTTTCATCAATAGGCTAAAAGCTTGTATAAAATATTAAGCTCAAGTAAAACCACAAGAAAATGTTTCTACCGATAAGCTCCATGAGAAAAAGGACTTTTCTGTTTTATTCATAACTGTATACCTAACTAATATTTATAGCTAGGGTGACATATTGTCCTACTTTGCCTAGGAAACAGAACTTTTAGTGCTAAAGCCAGGACATTCCCAGATAAACCAGGATGGTAGGTCACCGTATCAATATGCTTTGCATATTAAACATTAAATACAGAATTAATACATGATATTCTAAACTACACCTTTATTTATTCATTCAATAATACTGAATGCTTTATTATGTGTCAGAGAGAGGCAGTGAGGGTACAATAATGAACAAGCTAAAATCGTGACCTCAAATAGTGGGGCAGCCAGACAAATAGACAAATAATTACACTACAAAGAGTGCTGCTAAATTAAGGCATAAAATATAGAAGAGCGTTCTGGGAAACTTGGGTTGGTAGACTGTAAGATAAAAGTTTTATTTCAGACATAAGGCTATATCGACATGTGAAGTGCCAACTACAAATGATAAACTAACCATGGGGTAGAAAGAAGAAATTAAGAATATAAAAGAGGAAAAGATTTGAGAAGAAATAAATAAATTCAGTTTGGGATATATAGAGTTTGAGGTGCCAACAGCAGGAGATAAATCAAATTGGGATGAAGCAATAAATCTCAGTCCATCCCAAGAAGGTGGGCAGCATATGATTAAAAGGTAAGTTCCACAGCCACTAAAGCTCAAAACAACAAAAAAGAGTATTCTTCACAAAAAAGCAATAACTAGATCTTTGAAACATACTCATCTCAGGAACATCAACATATAGAGCAATCACATACATATTGTTTTTTAAACATAAATATAGATTGCATTCCCTGAGGTTGTGTCCCTAAACTCTGACCGGCTAATAAGATAAAATCATTAGCGTTGGCATAAGCACATAGGCATGAGTACAAGACCACAGACAGCTCATGCTTCTGTGGCAGATAAAGCTCATTGCTCCCTAAAGAAGAAATATGAGAAAAAAATATATTTAGAAGCTTCTGTCACTGAGCTTAGAAATAACTAATGCAGAACCAATATAAGTAACGAATATACAGCTTATGTGACATGCCATTTATGTAAATCAAGCTCAAAAACAATGAAATATTCCTCAGCACAATAATGCCAGTAGCAGTCACATTATTAAAAGGATCATGTTTTTATCATATTTTACTAGACTGATTGTCCCTGGGGAAAACTTGCTCTGATGAGCTAAGACTTGCTTGTTTCTCAGATAAATGAGACTATCAGAAACTGCTCTCACTAATCTAGATTGGAATATCTATTATTTCTCCCACTCATGAAACCAGAGAAGCTCATATTGTCTCTTTCAGGTTGCAAATCCTGGGTAGAAAAGTGTCTTCCTGATAAAATGGCCAAAAGTCAAGGCAATAAAGTTTGCAAATTAGGGTGGAAAGAATTTCCTGAGAAAAATGTGAAGACAAAAAGGGAAGAGTGGTAATTAGGGAAAAGAAAGGCCAGTAATAAAGAATATTTGCTTCTTTCTTTTGAAGATCTAAGACTCTAAGGTTCTCTCCTCTTGCATAATTCAACAACTGAGTTATATAGAGTCCCAACATCTGCTCTTCCTACATTATACTCTATAAAATCTACCTGACCCTTAAATGAAATAACTATGTATACCTCTGCATAGTCTAGTGTGTTACTGATGTTTAAGAGAAGGTGAGATATTTTTAGGAATTAAATAAGCTACTTTTAAACTATCTTGCTAGAGAATCAGTAGAGAAATGACTAGAAACACCTGTACCTTCTATCAATTATCAGCATGTTATCACTGAGTATCGCTAAAACTGGGATCTATAGGATGCAGCTGCTCAAAGTTCTCAAGAACGGAATTTCCTAGTTTCCTTCATAGTTCAACAAATCACAATTCTATAAAATAGTCATGGAAGGGCCTTGCAATATTCTATCTACTGCTCTCTAAGCAGAGTTCATATAAGTCATGTTATAAGAGTTTTTATTCTGCTATGTGTCACTCCTTAAATTTTTTTAACTTTATTTCAAGAATTATTGGGTTTGTTTTTTTTTTTTTTTCAATCTGTTATGGTATTGAACTGAAAACTGAGAATAATGGAGTAAAGAGCCTGGTTACTGCCCTCAAGAAACTCACATTTTAGTGTGGCAGCCAGATAAGTTAACAGATAATTACAATATAGTATCAGGGTGCTATGAAAGTCATTAAGAAGTCAAAGACGAAAGACTTGAGAAAGAACAGAGAACAACTTCACTTTACCTGAGTCTTGAAGAATAAGTAGGAATTAGCCAGGTGAGAAAGAAAGAAAGAGCATACTGGGCAAAGGTATCAGCGGATACAAAGATATGGAAGTAGTTAAGCATGAACTTACCGAAAATGCAAAGCCGGAATTGCTGATACGTAGGTTAAGTCTCGGTGAAGATGTGGGTGCCTGGAAAGACCAGGTAAAGCAGGAGAACAGGTCAGAGATCAGATCATGAAGAATCTTATGCACCATGTCAAGGAGTTCAGATTTTAACCTTAGTGTTAAAAGGAATTTTTTTTAAACAAATAACATAATTATATCTTAGAAAGATCACGTTAACCATAAGATAGAAGTTGGGGTGGAGACTAAAATTGAAAGAAACCAGTAATATTTTATTGGTTTATTTCACAATAGAAATAATGAGGCCTGAACTAAGACAAGGGCAGGTAAATTAAGAGAAAGGATAATTTAAGATAATGAGAAGACAAAATCAATAGGTCTTAAATATCAGTGGGAGTGGTCAGTCAGAGAAAAAGGAGTCTAGAATAATTCCAAAACTTAAAGTTTGTGATTGACTGATAGAGAATTTTTTCAAAGGGGCTAGTAATAGTGGGGAAAATGATGAATTAAGACACTTGGAATTTGAAATGCCAGAGACCACCCATGTGGAGATGTCCAAAAAAGTAACTGGCAATGCAGAGGATTTAAGATCAGAAGAAAGTTCAACTTAGATATATAAATTACCTATATTTCTGGGAGTCATCAGAATCAGAATATAGATAGTAGTTGAAGCTATGGATTTTAATAAGAAAGTACACATGAAAAAAGCAACAAGCAAAAGATGGAAAGTACAGTATATAAACACTAAAAAGGTGTTTAAAAAAATTAGAACTTTTAAAGAAGACTATGAAGAGGTGGGGGTGGTGGGGAGGAAGTGATTCCCTGATTCAGCATTTAACAAATGTTTATTAGGTCCTAACCATGTATCAGGCACTGTCCCCAAGTTAGAAAAAGAACCAGGAAAAAAATGATGATGTTACAGATACCAGGGGGAAGAAATATTTCTAAAAATAAAGTGGTCAGTTGTGTCACAATAAAATTAGGATTTAAAAGTATCATAGGTGTAAGCATTTTCGGTGGTCGTTGGTGGCTAATAAATTATGAGAGAGATAGTGCTTACAATTCAACTGCATTAAAGACAGACAATAAGCTCCAAGAATACTGATATTTATATCAGATGTTGAAAAGCAGTAAAATTCAAGATTAAAACGATGACAAATGACTAATCTGTCCTCCACCCAAAGAAACCTATATCAACCTAAATCTTAATCTGGTCAGGTCAACACAGTAATGGATCCTGGCATTTGTTTAAAAATACACAGCGTAGGAATAGGGAAAATATAGGTTAACAAGGGAAGAACTATAATTTGAATGGTATTAAACTTCACAAAATCATCGGATTAAGAAAAGCAGAAAGTAAATTGGAAGTATGTATTAAATTTTCCCTAGGTCACTAATTGCAAATAAATGAATAATTTTTTTAAATTATCCATTTCCACTCCATCTCTCAAGAATATAATTGTTGGTTTTGTTTTGTTTTTTTACAGAAGGTAGGATAAAAAGGCCCTCATTAAGTATGTTCAAAAAGAACGTGGGTTTGGTCAGATAAGAGGCATCTATCTTAAAAAATACATGGGGCTGTATCTTTAAATGATATTGCAAAAATTGAAATATAAAAGTTACATTTTAGTAAATACATGTCTCTGGCTAGTGGTAGGAAGTGTGTGGCAGACAAGATTACAATGAAAATAGACAGTAAACGGTAAGAAGCACACAAGATTTGGAGACTCATATAGTCAACAGGGCAGTAAATCAAAATCTTAGGTCTAATCCGTACAATAGAAAGTATCTAGCCATGTGTTTTCTGCCCTTGTAAAATAAAGATATTTTTTCAGCCTACTTCATGTTTTGTTATACTTATGAAGTGGTACTATTATGTTTAAGTCACAGGCACATAAGCGGAGCAGGATTAATGTGAGGTGTCTGTCACAGGTTTGCCTTTTCTCACATCTTACCTGTTGCCTGCTGCTTCAGGAAAGGTACCTGGTAGGACCCAGGACCCACATGATCCTCAGTGCTGCCACCTTCAGCCAGTCTGAGCAAGCGAGGAGCCCTATCATACATGATGGCGGGAGGGGCTGTGGGGCGGCTGAAAAGGTATAAAATCAAAGCTGCTAGTGACGGTATGGAGCAAAATGCAGCCGACTATCTGAGACGTGGGCAGAACTTCCGTAAATAGAGGAACTAGGGTAGGCGCTACCTCCCCGCCTGCTCAGGGGGGTCAGATGTACCCCAGGTCTGCTTCCAGCCTTGTGGTAGAGAAAAAGGGAGCGCAACCACAGGTAAAACATCCCACGTCACCATATGTTCACCACCCGAGAGCTGTTGCGCCCCTCCCACAAAGGAGATTAAGAAACAGGCGCCCGACCCTATGCTTCCGGCTCTGACTCCGCCCATTTCTCTCCGCCCCGGAAGTTTCCGGGAGAGAGACAGGTACTCTTACTCTGCCGAGCTTTCGGAGCATGCGCACTGAGCCGTGAGCCTTCCCGCTGGCTCCGCCCTGCGCTCTCTAAAGTGTGCCACCAGTTCTAGGTCCTGGATTCATCAGAAAAAAAATCAAGAAACCGTATTAAAGGTGTTAGGGCTAACTTGGCTCCAGTAAGTTAATTAGGGCGATTGGGAAGAGACTACCAAAAACTGTGAAAGCAAAGAAAAGCATTAGCGCGAAGCAGAGCCTGAGTTCCGCAAGCTCACTCCCCACTCCTACTTCAGCTATATGCGCACTCAGAAAAAGCACTTCTGACTTTATCCCAAAAGTAATCCAAACTGTACCAAGAGAAACCTAGGATGAGCTGGTGACAAGAAACAGGGAACCGGGGGGAGGAGACAAGAAGCTCACCAAGCGAAGCAATCAATGCAAGTACAGGTAACTGAAAGCTGTTTCTGTTGCAGATGCCAGGGAACAGCCACATTGATTCATCACTGTTACTGAAGCCCAGCCCACCGCACTAAAGCAATGGGTTGCTTAACCTTAGGCAAACCAACCTGAACCTGGCTTCTGCAAAGGTCTTAGAGGAGTACGTGTCAGACTCCACCTCAGAGTTGTCTCAGGCTTTTTCAACAAGAATCTTATAGAGATTCTTATCTTTTTAAGGATGCAAACAAATCCTCCCTTGACCATGCTTTGCCCCAAATGAGGTACAGTACTTTAAAGTGTCCCTACTATATATTTTTACAGTATTTCTAGTGTCAAACAGCAGTCCTCAATCTTTTTTGGCACCAGGGACTGGAGCTCCTATGGGAATCTAATGCCTGATGATCTCAGGTGGAGCTGAGGAGGTGATGCTAGTGCCAGGGAGCTACTCCCTTGCCTGTGGCTCACCTCCTGCTGTGCAGCCCACTTCCTAACAGGCCACAGGCTGGTATCTGTCCAAGGCCCGGGGGTTAGGGACCCCTGCTCCAGAGCAAGATTCGATACTCAATTCTGTGGGTCATTAATCGTGGCTCAATTGTTCCATATATGTTAGAATGCTATCCATACAAGGCTATATATGTGTTTCTCAAGACTATATGTGTAATATCTTTTTTCCCTTGCTCAATAGCTAGCTGAATAATTGTTTATTCATTTAAAAAACACTTATTGGCATATGCTATAGGTTCAGCAACCTAATAGGTTATGGGGAGACAAAGGTATAATAAAGTCCCCACAACCTCAGCCATTCTGTGTCTAATGGAGAAAGAGACGTGTAATCCATAACAAGAGATGACAAGAGAGATGTACAAAATTATCAGAGAAGAAATATTGCAGAACTTTGGAAAAGTACTCTTCCTACTAAAAAATTAGTTATTGGTTAGTGATCCTTTCTTACTGACTTCAAGTCTTGCCTTTTTGCTGAAACCTCATAAGTCTGTCAAAGTTGTTTAAGCTTTATTTTCTCAAGCTGCCGTAGATACCCATTGAGATCTAGAATATGTTAACTATTAAACTTTATGCAATAGTATGAGGAAAAGAGTTACAGAGGTAAATGAAGAATCAAGACGCTTTGGAGGATGATCCAATGATGCTTGTAAATTAGCCTCCTATTGGACATTCCTTAAAGATATCATTGGCCCTTAAACAAAAATATAAACCCAAAAAGCAAATTCAAGTCTAGGCCATCTTTTCTGTAGGCACTGGCACAGACTCTCCCACCCTCTTTCTGTTATGTTACTTCATTTTCGTACCAGCCTAGATTACTCTTGAGATCGGAAATAGAAGTGATAAATCAGGCTTTATTTGCTTTCTGTCTGATTTGATTTTTGGCCATCAAGCCTACTCTTAGACAAAAGGAATTCTTCATAGGATCTACCTTAACTCATTTACTGATCTCTAAACGGGAGTTTGTGACCTTAAGACCTTTGTACCAGCCGAGAATACAGTGTTTATCTTGCCTGCTTCACGGAGTGAGACATTTGATCAATGGCAGGACTCTATTGTTTCTGGGTCTTGTGGACAGATCCTAGATAAATATCACACTACTGAGGTATAGTCTCTACGTTCTTCAAATTTTGTAATACTTGATCTCTCAGAATTCTGCATTCTTAACAAAAAGCCTTTCTTTGAAAAGTTTTTGGTATGAATATTCTTTGTTTTATCACTGTGGCTGTTCTCTCCACCTTTCCCAGCTCTTAAGGTTCAGTAATCAAATTATACACAGTATTTCAGAATTGGAAAATATTTTTCAATGAGAACAGTAAATATTTTTCATAATGGTAATATTGAATATTTACCACATCTCATTGTGGTTAATATTTCTTGAATAACTTAAAATGAGTGTGCATGTGAACACAAAATAACTTGGTTTAACATTTCTCAATTCCTGCAAAATAGTTTTAATACTGTTTAATGCTAGTTTTTGTGGTTACACGATGTGACCATTCACATAGTATTAGTAAGAAATGGAACCTATCCATTTTTTTTAACTAAGATTTATTTGACTACAAAATTTGGGTTCTTTCCATTTTTCCATGTTGCCTCCCACTAGAATAAACTTTAAAATGAAGCTCGAATAAGTCAAATTGATTCTTTATTGAATACGGTAGCTGTAGTGAAGAACTCCATGGTCACCAATTTTTCTTTATATCACTTTGATGATTATGTAGATAACTATAGATCATACCTGAAGAATAGCATTAGCAGTGGTAATTGTGCCTTAAATAACATTATATACCTTATAAATATTATAAGGTATTGAATTGTTTTTTAAACTAATTTCTTCAACCCATTATGACTTACTGGTTTTCCATCGTGCTTTCAGTAGAAATAAAAATAAATTAATTGTAATAAATCATTTGGCATGTATCAAAATCAACTAAATATATCTTTAAAGTGTTATTAGAGGTCACATTGTAAAGTGATATGCATTCAAGTTAAAATAGTAAAAGTTTATTTTATATAATAATTTGAAGCTTACAAAGTATATTTTTCATTCGATATTTTGTTTCATATAAATTTATGTTTCTCTGTTTCTCTAAACTGCAGAATTAATATGATCGAAACCAACAGATTTCATTAAATGTGCTTTAAAAATTATACCGTATATCAGTGATCACTTGATTTTTTTCACTTACATTTATTGAGCACCTACTATGTGCTAGCACTGTGTGAAGCACTTTACATGAATAATCTAAATCATTTCTCACATAACCCATGAAGTAGATTCTATTATTATCTCTATCTATTAGCATACTGAGACTCACAGCTATTAAATTCTTTGTCTAATGTTACATAATTAATGAATGATGGAGCTTAATTTAAAGCTAGTCAGTTTAATTCTAGAACCTGTTTTCATATCGACTGTAAGGGAAATGCTCCCAACTGTTCTACACTCACATCCATTGATTTTTTTTCTCAATTTTTGTTTGAACTTGGCTGCATTTTTATTTATGCATCTAAAAAAGAACCTCTAGAGGTAGCCTTTCAGAGATGGCATGGTGGCTCCTTGATGGCAGGGAACCAGGAAGCTCTATCATGCTCTTCCAGATCTTGATCTGTGGCTTCTATTCCTTAGATCACCTCATGGTCTATAATTTATCTGCTAGAGTTCCAGCCATGATAGACAGCATGAAGGGAAAATAAAAGTATGTCCCTCTCCCTTTCGAAAAGACTTCCTGGAAGTAACACACAAAATATATATGCATACATTTATTTGGCCCAAACTATGTCAATAAGCACATATAGTTTTAAAGAAGGCAAGGAAATGAAGCCCATTTTTGGTTACCAGATTCTGTTACTAAAGAGAAAGGAGTCAGTTTAAAGAAAAGCACCTCAGTTTCTTCCACAATCACCCTTTTGGGAAATCCTCTCTGGCTTCTACAGTACCCATCTCTCCAGGTTCTCATTACAGTTTCTGACAGCACCGCTGTTCCCTCTAATTTTTGTTTCTTTGTCGTTTTTCTTTCTTGTCCCATCGTCTTCTCTCCTCCCACAGTAATTTCATCCATTCTCATAAATCATGTATCCTCTCTGAGATTCATGGATTTCTAAGTGTCTGCTTAACACTTAAATTAAATATAAACACTTCACTAACACTTCAAATTAAGTATTCCCAAACTGAATTCATTTTTTTCTGAAAGCCCAATCATCCTCCTAATGTCCTATTTCTATTCAGAAAAGCAATATCTTCCCATGCAGAAAGCTTGAAACCTTAGACTACTTCTATTCTTTGTGCTCCCACATCCAAACAGCTGCCAAGTTTTATTGTTTCCAACTCTGTGAGCTTTCTGAAATCTACCCCCTCATCCCATTCTTGCTGTCATTTTGTTGATACTCTCAACTGTTGATTTAGTCTGCTCTAATATCTCAACTAGAATTTCTTTTTTAATTTGTTATGCTTTATTCCACACAGTGCAGTTAGATTAATTTTTCTAAGTATGATTTTGAAAATGTCACTCTCCTGCCCAGAAATCTATTATTTCCTGAAAAAGTGGCATCGAGTGTTTCAAACAAACTAATCTACCTTTCAATTCCTGTATCTTCCAATACTCCCCATTCACACAAGTTGTATATTGGTCAACCAAACCTTGCCCTTTTCATATCTGCTTTTGTCTAAGACTTTATCTCTACCTGAAAATGTCCTCCCTTAACTTCCTATCTATGAACGATAAACTCTAGAAAACATCCTTTTGTATTTCCTTACCTCATTTAGCATAGCACAACTTAAAGTGCATTTTTAATGTTTGTTGAATTACCATCTTGCTTCCTGACAATTGTTGTCAGTTTTGGCTCAAATAAACTCTTATAAAAATTCTCTACAGGTTTGGACATTTCTTACATCGACATTTACTTAGCATAGTATGGCAGGATTCTGAAGAAACCCACCCAGGACCACCCTACAGACCCAGACCCA